TCTCATTTTTATAAGTGCGTTTTGACTGATTTGTCGTCAAATAACAACAATAATGTACCATGATAGTATTTTTCATTGTCAGGTCAACGAGCCTGTCGAATTTCGTAACATTAGTTGTTAAGTGAGGGATGTGATACTGGTCCAATAAGTTCGGTGACTATTCAAATTTTTTTTTTAAATTTAATGGTTAATAGGATAACAATTTAATAAGTTCGATGACCACCCAAAAAACTTAAATTTAAATTATGCAAAATTTAATAACTATTTGAATTTTTAACCCTTGTTTGGATGTTTTGAAAGGTAATTTTGAAATTTATGCATTTTAGGGAGTATAGAGCATTGGTAATCATGTTCACATCACAGTTCTTTTCCGACACTTCACGTTAATTGCAATAGAGATTCTCAATCATTGGTCATTGTTACACTTATATCTCTCAATTTTTTTAATTTTTTAATTTATTTTATTTTATTTTTTAATTTTTTTAACCCAAGACATTCCATTATTAGCTATCTTACACCTCATGATGATTTTATTGCAAAGAATTCGTTATAAGGGTGTAAGAAAACTTGTTCGTTTCTCATATTGTTAAGTAAACAAGAAAAAAAATATTTGTTCCTCATTTCAAACTTCATTAACAAAATACTTGGACAAATTATCAATCAGAATATATGCTAAAATTGAAAATTAAAGATAAGAATGCTCATTATAAATAAAATGTAATAATATAAACAAATTAGTTAGTGCAGATATAATTACTCTTTCATCATTGAGTAAGAAAATGGCAACTAAATATTTATTAGTCCAATTATCTTGAAATTGGATGGATGGTTCATTCTACTGGGTAAGTACGACCTTAAGGATGGTAAGAGTATCTCCAAAAGACTCTCTGAAAAAAAGATATTTTTTATTTTAAAGAGTAAATGTTTAAAGGTAAGTTTCAAGAAACTTTTTTTTTTTTTTTTTTTTAAATAAAGAGTGGATCTAACTTTCCAAATTTTGAGAGCCAACTAAACTTACTATATTCTTAATTTACAATTACTACATTTAATAAGTTACAAATTTTATTATTCTATAATTTGAATTGATCGGTCATTAACATATAAAAAAAAATATTAAATAAGAGATGATGATAATTCAATAAACTTTCATTGGAGAAAATAAAATGAACAGTCAAAATAAAGAGCATTATTGGAATGTATAACAAATTTACTTCCTATATTTAAATATATTCTCTACTATTTATAAAATGCTCTTCATAAATGGAGAATCTCTTTTAGCTGTTCTTAACTAAGAAACAATGCGTAAAACTTCAAAAATCATATTTTATTTATAAAATAATTAATTAACATATATCTTATTAATTAAATATCTTAAAGTCACAAATTTATACAATTTGATCACAAATTATCGAATTAATTAGTTACAAGTTATTTTTTTTTATCATAATAAAAAATTTTATAAATCACAAATTATTTAACGATTACAAATAAAAAAAAATTATAGATCACAATTTATTCATCAATCACAAATTTATCAAATTAAAAAGTTACATGTTATTCGTCAGTTACAAATCATAAATTTTACAAGTTACAACTAATTTCATCATCACAGAATATCTAATTAGATAGCCACAAATTATTTTTCGGTCACAACTTATCAAATTATTAATCACAATTTAACAATTTTTAAGATCACATGTTATTTATTAGTCACAAATTATCTATTTCATTGGTTATCGTATTATTTATTGGTCACACATTAACAAATTTATTAGCCATAGTCAACCAAATAATTTGTGACGATCACCACCACAGCTGTCGCCATAATCGTCGTTGCTGCAACACCCGCGACAATCAACACCTACCTCACCAACACCAATATTTTTTACCACAATCGCCAACACAACATTAGAACCGTCATTTCACCACCACAACCGTCACCATCGTTACCACCTCACTATTAACAAATTAGATCCAAAATCACCAACATCCCACAATCGCCATCTCCTTATCATTGTCATCATCACCGCCACCACAACCGCAATTTTTAACTAACACTACTTCACACAGGGGCGGACCCACATGGGATCAAATGACTTCACAGTTTTTTTTTTTTTTTTTTTTTTGTGCTGAAAACTTAATTTTCTGCTCCAAAAAGTCCAAATTCTAAATCTATATTCATATCACATGATCCATATCCATTATT